TTTGGAGAGCAAACGTACACCTGAGTTCAGTCATACAAACTAACTTCTGTAAATAGCGTTAGATGAATATATCCATGTCTCTAATATGAATCTAGATGTATTTTCTTACAAAACGCATTAATAGAAATATCCAGGCAAATACATACCATACAATAGCAAAAGCTTGAAGCCCCATTTAATAAGATGACTTTCCGATTAAAAATAGAAGGCAATTAAGATTTACTCAAAATTACAATTAAGAAAAGCTTTCACAGTGCAATATTGAAACTGTCACAAAGTTAAGAAAATACTGATATCAAAGTACAATCACAATGTTAAAGTAGACAAAACTACTATACAAGGGCATATCTTGTAAAATTAAAAGGAATGAACACAACATAGGGGACATCTCGCGTCCCTGCTCTACATATCTCGTTTCCTAGTCTTCAGAGTCGTAATTGTGTCTTTCTGACATCGGTAGAAGTCTTGTTAAAAGCAAGAGGTTCATTCTTCTTTGTAGACCAGATTTCAGAGCCCGATTACTTCTTGAAAAGATGTTCTTCATCACTGCACGATTTCGAAGTAGTGCAATATTGCCATGATGTGCTGAGGCATGAACACATAGCCCGTGTACAGGGCCATTCCAACAATGGAAACTAGCATGGAATCTGAATTACAGTTGAGGAAAAAAGCAATTGAAATAGAAAGTGCATTAGACATCACATAACTATAGCATTAAAACTTTCCTGGAAACTACCTTATAATGTCACATTTTTTTAAAATCAGACAGGGTCAACTGCATTTGACAATTACAGCTGCAGGAAGAACCCACCAAACGCTGCAAACTGGAACACTAGTAGGAGCGATTAGCTGAATTATGGAGGGATGCCTTGTAAGCTATCCACTGCCTTGTCATGGACACAAGAGGACAAAGTGTGGGAAGGGTGATGGATGATCAGAGAATGGGCACTGAGAATATACAGGTTTTTACCTGCATCTTCCTAGGAGTTAAGCAAGCCTTGCGGCAGCCCAGCCCCATTCAGCCAAGCAGAAAAAAAAAGTCAACCATCACAAAAAAAAAGCCCAAACTAAACCAAAACCACAATAATATGAGTAGCTGTACTGAATAACAGCTCTTATTCGTGGACAAACTACTCATTTTTAAGCAGACAGCATTAGACGCTGACCTCAACTTCTTGGAACAGTATGACCTATTAGATTTGATTTATGACGCACGAAATACATCTGGTGTGAAAGTTGTGCTGTTAGTGTAATAAAGCCAGGAAACCTCAAATCCATTTCTAGCTGCCCGTGTCCTCTATGCTTTAAGTCGCTACATTACTTGGCTCATTTCTCCATCTGCATGTCATGCTCAGAGCCTTCCTCACAGGCAAGCAGCTCAATTTATATGTTGTTCGATGGTACCTCGGAAACAGAAGCTGCAGGAGGAACGAAAAGCACGAGTAACCTTGTGACATGCACCTTTCTAACCATTTCACTCACAAAGCCTCAGAGCATCAGCATGGCTTGAAGCTAACTTGTGTATTTAAACCAACAGATACTTATTAGGACTTTACTTTGCAGATCACACTGCAAAACAAATTTCATGTGAAGCTATCTGCTGAACAATCTTAAGACAACCACTTTATTAGTTGAACTCCTAACAGGGACCTTTTTAAAAATTTATATAGAGAAGTGAGACGACAGTTTATAATATATATGTACAACTGGACCTCTGTCGAGCTCTACGGTTCACAAAGCTTAATCTACAGAAATTATGTCATTATCTTACTGAAAGATTATGCCATTCAAAGTTTAACACTTCAGAAATTCAAAAGAAGTATTCTAAATTAATAATAACCTGTTGATTTCATCCAACTACCTGCAGAGATTCAGTAAACATAGACAGAAACACTACGAAAAGCACTGGAGATGAACAAGCGTGATAACACTGGGCTCAGTTTCCACAGGTGAAACCAGAGGAGCTGCGCATGCTGTGACTTCGAGAAATCAAGTCACCGCAGCACACAGGTAACAAATGCTCTGTGACCGACTTCCCCGTGGCAGAGCAGAGGTATTAGCTACGCTTATTAGAGCATACTAGCTTCTTGGTGTATTTTTAGTCCTGGAAGATTACACAGTATGTGATACTAAATGAAGGTCAACTCATAAATCCACATTTCTGTATCAGCGCTCGCTTCTGATTCTGGAGCACAAGCAGCAGCGAGGCACGCAGCAGAGCCACGCACCGTGAACTTGCTCCCAAGGCCGCTGTGTCTGCGCCGCACCTGTACAGCACCCGGCAGACCTGGCTCACCTATGGCGAAAGCGTCCAGTTTGAGGACGACAATCGGTTTTCCTGACCCAAGATTGCAAGCAATACTTGTGCCACTTACAACACTCGTAAGTTCAGTGTCAATTACTTCACTTCGAAATAAGTATTTTATAAAAGTAAACACACACACTTTGATTTAGTTAAATATTTCGCACAAGTTTAAAAGCTGCATGGTTAATGCAAAAGGAAAAAAGAAAATACTCATGACTAATAGAATCGCAACGAAAGCAAAGATGAAGTTTCCTCAGTGACACAGACGTGGCATAAAAAAGAGGAAGGTATGTTAGCAAGGAACACAGTATTTTGAAAGTAAGAATCCCTACCTAAACAACTGTGCACAGGAAGTCTATAAATACCAGAAAAGAGAAACAGTAAGTTATCTCTACTTCGAGTGACTTTACCCAGGAAAAAAGACTGATCACAGAGCTGTGTTGGGCAACCACTTTTATATAACACAAGCAAAAAATTGACCAGTATCTCAGTGCAGGCAGCTTATCACTACTACTTACACCTTTCTCTTTGTTAATTTCTCTCATTGCCTCTCAACATGAATTGGAGATGGCTCAGGGTCATTCATACGAGACATCATTTTAAGTCAAGATCAAACCAGCCACACTTAAGAGAAAAATACTTGTGATGCCATAACAACACTTGAGAGAATATACTGCCTGTATGAAAGGGCTGGGTAAAGAAGCAAACCTATATATAGCCTTTATACAGATGCCTTCACATTAGCATCTATCGAGTTCTTCCACTCCAAAAGAGCCAAGCAAACTTACCAGCTCGAGGATTTACTTCTCTAATAAAAGTCATGTGACAAAGCACCACGCAAACGTAAGCTTGCAAGGTTTTGCAGCGCGCACATTTAGTTTCCACTAGGCAAAAATACAAAAGAATTCACGAAAGACGCCTGTCCTTAACACAAACCTTGAGCTTTCGGCGCAAAAGTCAGGAGAAAGAACTACCGTAACTCCACAGAAGAAAAATTAGAGGAGAAATTACTTCGAGATGCAAACTTAGCCCGAGGAGAAAGGACTCGATTGCTGGGCGCCCAGTGACAGGGTGCGGAACGCCAGCGTGAGGATTGCTCCCACCCCGGGCAGCGTGTCAGCCTGCGAGGAGGGGACGAGCCCGAGCCCCAGCCCCGGCCGGA